CTATTACTAGTGCAACTACTTCTACTACTGCTTCTATTTTAGCTCTTGTGCTATTACTACTACTAATACCGCTGCTAATCCCACTACTACTATTATCACTACTACTACTACTACTACGACTACTACTACTACTACTACTACTACTACTACTACTACTACTACTACTACTACTACATACTACTACTACTACTACTACTACTACTGCTACTACTACTACTGCTACTACTACTACTACCACTACTACTACGACTACTACTACTACTACTACTACTACTTCTACTACTACTACTACTACTACTACTATTACTTCTTCTAGGGCTACAACTACTAGGACTACTACTCCTACAACGACCACAGCCATTACTACTACTACTACTACTACTACTACTACTACTACTACTACTACGACTACGACTACGACGACGACGACGACGACGACGACGGCGCCGACCATTACTACTACTATTACGACTACTACCACTACTACTACTACTACTACTACTACTACTACTACTACTAGTAGTACTACTACTACTACTACTACTACTGCTACTACTACTACTACCACTAGTGCTGCTATCACTACCTACTACTACTACTACTACTACTACGACTACTACTACTACTACGACTACTACTACTACTACTACTAGTACTACTACTACTAATACTGCTACCACTAGCACTACTTCTAGTAACAGTATTTCTAATAGTTCCAGTAGTAGTCGTAATAGTAGTAGTAGTAGTAGTTTTAGTAGTAGTAGTAGTAGTAGTAGTAGTAGTAGTAGTAGTAGTAGTAGTAGTGTTGCTACTACCACTGCTGCTATTTTCAATAGGCCTACTCGCATTACGTGTACTACTCGCACTAGCATTATTGCCGGTATGACCAAGACTGCGAGACTTTCTAGTATTACGATTGCTTCTAATAGTAATAGTACTACTCGTACTACTCGTACTCGTACTCGCAGTGGTACTAGCACTGGCCGCGGCGGCCGCCGTCACCGTCATCTCCCCCCCCCCCCTCCCCCCTTCCCCCCCTCCACGTAACACTGGCGAGCGGCACGCGTTTCGCGAGAGGCACGTGGGCCCGAAGATAGCCCCTGAGGAGAAGGTGTCATCCCTGGTCAAAGGCTCTGGCGGCGTCGGCGGGTTTTCGGGCGGCCGCGTCATCGCCCATGATCCGATCGTGTGCCACTACTGCAAGGGGCATTACGGTGAGATCTCTAGCTTCGCCCAGGCCTGTGTCAATGGTGACGCCCCTGCCTTCCAGCAAATCGGCTCGATCCTCGCGCACGAGCGCGTAGCCAAAGGCCATGGTCGGCGAGTGAAAGCTGACGCTCGCCAACAAGACCCCGATCTTCTTCGAGGCTGTGCCACCACGTGTGTTTCCGCTGCCACGGCCGCGAAAACTACTCTGACCCGCGCTACTGGCTCAGGCGCGACACCATGAGCTTGACGTCCGGGTGGACAACATGAGGGGCAAGCAAAAAAACAAATTCCCGTCTCAGCAAGCTACGACCACTTGCCTCGCCGTATACGCGTAGCTCGAGAAGCATATGGAGAAAACTGCCGATCAGAACGCCAACCTGACTAGATATACGAGGCCATCCTGTTCAATAAGCGTCTGGGTGAGGTGGCCGACTTCACGATCGCTCTATGCGGCGGTAGTCACATCATGTACGTTTGTACGCTCTGCAAGACGGCCCCCCTCAAGCCGAAAGAGTGCGCGCTACGTGCTACCGGCGCAGCAAGACGCACCTACGAGCGATCGGTTCGAAGCAACGCAGGAGACAGACAGCCCCCATCGGGGTCATCCTCGCTGGCGGCTTCGGTTTCCCAGGACAAAAGGGCCAAGACGCGGGAGGCCTCGACTGATTCGTTGTCGACCTTCGCTGCGAGTCACCGCCTACACCGCGGGCCTCTCGGAGATGAGAGCCGTTTGGCCGGCCAACTGGCGTTGGAGGTGGTCGAGCACGGCGCCGTTCACGCAACGAGATGGCGGCTGGACGGGGACGACTGGGCGTCGCGGAGGTGGCCTCGTCGGGGAAGGGCCGTTCCTGGGGCCCGCGCGCGCCTGGCCCTCCGGCGTCGACGGCCCCGACAAGAAGAGGGCCTCTTGGCTGCGGGCGGTCAAGCTCGCACCGGCGAGGACCGGCAGCGACGGCGCAAAGGACAGAGGCCCGAGGCGCCCATCAAGTTCGAGGGCGAAAACACAGGGAGTCTCACTCGGACGCGCCCGCACGCGGGAGGGGAGCCAGGAGGCAGCCCGCCGAAGAGAGCGCCAGCGTGCCGGGGCTCCACGCGACAAGTCGGCACGGGAGCCGCGCCCGCGCGTTGGCGTGAGAACCGGGAGGCAGCCCGCGAAGGAGGGTGCCAGCAACGGCGGGGCTCCACGTGACAAGTCGGGACGGGAACCACGTCCGCGCATTGGCCAGGGCGCTGGCCGCCGCGCGGCCCTGCGAGGATTCAAGTGGCGCCGGAGGATCCGAGGAACCCACTGTGGACGACGCGACGAAGGCCTCCCCGTTCGCAGGCCGTCGGCGCCTTGCCTTGGGACGTGTCCCGGGCGGAGTTCGGCGGTGGCCTTCCGAGCAATACGCGGGGGACTCCGAGCGGCTGCATAGCGCGCTTCCAGGGTAGTCTTGAACTCCCAACCTCCAGTGGGCTCCTCCACGGCGAGGGCGCCTTCCTGGCCTGTGGGGGCCCCCATCCTTCTGCCGCGGGCGGGGACAGGGGCCCGGCGCGGAAAGGGGGGGCGTCTATCGCGGAGGACCCCATGGGGGATGGGCAGTGGTTCGAGACCGCGCCTCCCAGCCTCTGCGCACGCGCGGTGGCGAGTGGCGACGGCGCCGCGGAAGGACCGAGGTGGGAAGGCGGATGGGCCCCGACGCTCGCAGCGTCCCGTTGGGGCCCTGGTCTCCTCCTCTCACCTCCGGGTCTCCTCTTCCGCCTCCTCTCCTTGGAATCTCATGCCCATCGCATTGAGGGTTCCTGGGAGTGTCAGTGGCCCTGAGCCATGGCCCCTGGGACCGCCACTCGAAAAAGGTGGTATCACCGTCGCCTCCTGCTCCATTTCTCTGCCACCGCACCGCAATTAGCGCCCATCGAGGATGCGCCTCCGCGTGCCAACAGTTAAGTGTATCCCTCTCGACCTCCCGACGTCTGATGCCATTTGGGTTCAAGCTCTCGGCCGTTTGGAACAACCCACCCACCACCCTGGGGCATCAAGTTCTTGGGAGTGGCAGGGGCTTTGAGCCAGGGCCCCCAGGACCGCCACCCGAAAAACGGGGGGTATCACCGTCACGTCCTCCCTTTTTTTTGCCCCGCCTTCAAACTGCTTTCAGGATCCGTCGATAATCGTTCCAGATGAACCCGAGACGACTCAAGAGGGCCCCCATTTGGCCCCAAACATTTTTCAAGACGGCTCAAAAAGATCTCCAGAAGGGGCGCAAGACGCGGAGATGACCCCACGATGGCCCAATGTAGGCTCAAGATACGCTCAAGTCGGCCTCGGTACGGCTTCAAGAACCCCCAAGAGGGCCCCACGACAGTCCAAGAGACTCCCTAAACTGGGCCCCGAACGGCCCTAGGAGATTTCCAAGGGGGCCCGGGAGGCCCCCATAACGGCATCGAAGCGGCGTTCATCTCTTTCCAAGACAGCATGTCAATAATGCGTCCTGGAGGCTCCGAGGCGGCCAGAAGACGGCTGAAGCTGGCCGGGAAGTGCTTCGCAAATGTATGCGCCAATGCCATCGATGTTTAGGCCCTGCCAGTGCTACCCAAATTGTGTTTTTGGCTTTCGTTGCACCGAGGTTTAGCCCCAGTGGCCAGAAAGGGGAGGGGGGTCGGCCTTCGATGGGCCCTGGTTTGGCCTTGGTGGCGTGCACTACGGATTCAGACTCGGGCACCCATCTTCTCTGTTCAGCTCCTACTCCAGTCCTCGGGCGCATCCAGAAAAGCGCGAGAAGCGTTGAGTAAGCCTCCTAAGACTCCCCTACACGCGGTACGATCGAAACGGGTACGGAAAGAATGGGTACGAAGATCGACCGCAGTTCTTGTTCATTTTGAACCGGACTCGCTGCTGGTGTCCCCGCAGCTGGTGTCCATTCGACAGACGGCCGGCTGCCCAACAGCGACCGCTGTCAGTTTGGGCCAGCATTCGTTGTTGGGCGTCGTGCTCATGTTTTCCGTGCCCATTTCGGGTGTCCAAATTCATGTCGCAAGGATCCCGGATCCGAATTGCTGCAGGTCCCACTACCAACACCAGAGGAGCTCCAGCATCGGCCCTGCATTTCCCATTAGCAGCTTGCGATGCGAATTCTTTGGGCGCGGCTAAAGATCAAGCGCGCGCGAAGCGCACGCGTGATTCTAATTAGTTAATGCATCTGCAGTTTCCTTGAGCTCCGACATTGGGAAACAATGCAACATGCGAAAAGTCACGGCCGGAGCTCTAGATCTCACCTTTCTGCTGCGTTTTTCGTGGTGGATTGATCCACGAATGTCTCGGGGCCCGAAACCGAGTGAAAACACCGGGAGCGCAATATTGCAATGCCAGGATCCCTCAGGGTTCACGGTCGAGAACTTGTGGATAGCGTGTCGCTCCAGTGGTTCTGGCCCACCACGCTTCGGCGCGACACGCCATGCACTTCCCAGTCCCCAGGCGTCGAGGCGTCAACGTCCCGAGCCTTTCCGAGCCTCCCGCCCCGCGGGGCGGAGCGACACGCTGTCCGCTCGCAGGGCACAGCGTGTCGACGGGGCCGCCGCGGCGACACGCTGAGTTAAAGTTCCAGAGACAATTATGTTTCTCCCTCTAGGATCCGCGGCGTGTCCAGGGGGGAGTGGGAAGGAGCAGGCCTTCTCAGGAGGCGGCGATGGCTTATCCGAAGCCATCGCGCCTCCTGAGAAATGGTCTTTGTCTTCGGGCAAGGCTCAGAAGACCTTTGAGCCGTCTGAGAAGTCCCGCCATCATCTCACTTCCCCCCTTCGCTCGCTGCCGATAGGAACCTCGCCCCTGGCGTGGAGTACATCTTCACCGTGAGCGCCTCGTACCCAGGGCTGGGCGGCTGCTGCGCGCAACAGGGCCCGGCGGACTCCTCGCTGTTCGCGGTGTTGGCCACGGCTGGCGTGGACGGCCCCGCCTTCGAGCCGCCAGGGCCCCCGAAGCACCTCGCGCCGCCCGACTCGCACGGAGGGGTGGGGCGCCGCGCGCCTTGGGGCTGTCAGGGACAACGATCGACGGTCAGGGGCAACGTTGGGGGGGGGATAGGCACAGGGGGGGAAGCATCGATCCCCAATTGCCCATTGGTCGCCGAGAGGGGCCATATACCCCCAACCTGCCCAGGAATGTGCGGATTCACGATCGGGGGCCTATCGCCGATCTATCGGCGATGTATCGCCGATTCCAGGTCGATGTGTCCCCCCAATGCCAGTCCCCCCCCTCTCGTTGCCCCTTAGACGGGTTCGGTTTCAAATCATGGGAGCCTTGGATGTCCCCGTGACTCCGTCTTTAGAGTGCGTAACTAAGCATGTGCTGACGTCTGGCAATCGATGAGAAAGCGCCGACTTAGCTTCGCTTCAGCGCGGGTTAAGCGTCGACTTAGCGTCGACTAGCGTCGATTAGCGTTGGTCAGCGTCGATTCGCAAGAGCCAGCAAGATGGCATGGGAGGCTTCCATGAGCTGCCACCGAAGACGGGCCCAGCCTTCCGACGATTATGAGCTTTCCGATCGCGGCGTTTCTCCCTCGGTTCGGCCTCCAGGGCCCGTCCCTGGGACCATCCAAGACGGATCTGGGGTGAAAGACCACCCCCGGGGAAGGGGTCGGACCGCCTCGCACCGAACGCATCATGCAGGAGGATGTCTGGGAAGGGGGGGGGGCCGGCCCAGGGGGCGGGGGGGGGCATCGACCCCCCATCGCCCACTCGTCGCCACAACGGGGGCCTGCCAGGCCCAGGCCCAGCCTGGCCCAGGCACGCGCAGACTCACACTCTAGGGGCCTCTGCCGCCGATCTGTCGGCGATGCATCGCCGATTCCAAGCCGACGTGCCCCCCCCCCCAAAGCCAGGGCCCCCCTCCCTGCCGTTCCCCCCTCAGGCTGGGACTTCTGGCTTGCGGTGGACCGGCGCGCGCTCGCCAGGCCTGCGGGACTCCTCTGATATCCGACGAGCGAAAAAATGCAGCATCACGAACAACCGCGAACAAAGACCTCGAAGACCCCATCTTCCTGCGACAGTTTTCGAGCCCATTCGATCTGCGATAGCCCCCGGGGCCCATAAACGGCTTCTGGAAGCCGATAAAGACGAAAAGCCTGCAGGGCGATTTTCGTTCCAGTCGCCAGTGAATGTGGGGAAGAGGGAAGAGGAGGATGAGGCCGAGGTTGCGTCTGCATTTCGCTAATTGTCTGGGCGCCTCTCGGAACCTCCAGAGGCTCTGGCCAGCGATGGGAATGAACTTAGCGGTGCGAGCTTGTTGTTAAACTACGCTGGGGGCGTTCGTTAAGGAATATGCCCAGAAGGCTTCAGACCCTGGAGGATTCCTCATCTGATGAGGGCGGCGGTGGTATCCATGGCCAATAAACGATTGGAGTCCCACCGGCATGCAGAACCTGGATTCCTTACACACCGCCGACCCGTTGGGGAACTGGCAGTTGTTGCGTGTTGCTCCTGAGGGCCTCGTGTGCGCCTTTTGGGGACTTGGAGCTTTTTTGGGGCTTCATGGGGGCCTCTTGGGGGCCTTTTCAGGGCCTCTTGGGCTGACATTCACAGTCTTCGCCGTGCACGCATGTGGAAACGGGCGAGAGCCCACGCGTACAGGCGGCGGGCATCTGGCGAAACACCCGAAGAATGATTATCGAAGACGCCTACGGCGAGTCACCGCCGCCCCCTGCTTTTTTGGAAGCGCCTATGTGTCCGAACGTTGAGGCCAGACCTGCCGTGCTATCGGACCATGTGTTCCCCGAATCGGTTTGGAAAGCCTTCGGGGAACACGTGGGCATCTTGAAGGTCATCTTGGTCGTCTGGAAGCCATTTTGACCCTTTCGGGCCTTCTTGGAGGACGTCTTGGAGGGCTCTTGGGCCGTCTTGGAGGCCATCTTGAGCGTCTTGGAGACCTTGGGCCGTCTTGGGGGCCTCTTGATGCCGTGTCTTGGGCCTCTTGGGCGATCTTTGGGGGCAATTGGGCCGTCTCGGGCCGTTGGATGGCCGAAAAGAAGCAAATGCCACAATCCTTCAAAAACCCATGGGAAATCAATGATTTTGGCCTTTTCGGGCCTTCCTGGAGGCCCTCTTGGAGGCCTCTTGGGCCATCGTAGGGCCATGTTCGGCCGTCTTGGTGGGCTCCTGGTCCGTCTGACGCCGTCGGAAGCCGTTTAGGGGGCCTCTATGGGCCGACTTGGGGCCCTCTTGGAATGCTCCAGGGCCGTCTTGGAGGCCATCTTGGGCGTCTTCGAGGCCTCTTGGGCCGTCTTGGGGGCCTCTTGGGGCCGTCCTGGGAGCCTCTTGGGCCGTTCTGGGGCCATCCTGGAGGCCTCTTGGGCGATCTGTCGGCGATCTTTGGGGGCTCTTGGGCCGTGTCGGGCCGTCGGAGGGCCGAAAAGAAGCAACTGTCAAAATCCGTCAAAAACCTTAGGAACATCAAGGTTTTCCTTCCTGGAGGCCCTCTTGGGGGCCTCTTGGGCCATCTTGGGCCAGCTTCGAGCCAACTTCGGCCATCTTGGTGGGTTCCTGGCACGTCTGACGCCGTCGGAAACCGTCTTGGGGGCCTTTCTGTTGGGCGTCTTGGAGGCCATCGTGGGCGTCTTCGAGGCCTCTTGGGCCGTCTTCGGGCACTCTTAGGGCCGTCGTGGGAGCCTCTAGGGCCGTCATGGGGCCATCTTGGAGGCCTCTTTGGCGATCTTGGGGGCCGTCTGGGGCCATCGGAAAGCCGAAAAGGCGCAAATGCCAAAATCTTTCAAAAAACCTAACGGAAATCAACGATTTTGGCCTCTTCGGGCCTTCCTGGAGGACCTCTTGGAGGCCTCTTGGGCCGTCTTGGAGGCCTCTTGAGGGCCTCTTGGGCCGTCTTGGGCCATCTTGAGGCTATCTTAGGCCGTCTTGGGTTGCCTCTTGGACCGTCTTGGAGGCATCTTGGGACCATCTTAGCCGCCTCGGAGGGCATCTTGACAGTCTTGGAGGCATCCTGGAGGCCATCTTGGAGCCGTCTGGAACGGAAAAACCCTCTGTAACCACCTCTGGAAGATCTTTCGGCATCCTCCCGGGACCCCGGCGGGACGCGCCGGAGCCCACTGGGAGAGTTTTTTTGGAAAAAAGCCAAAACCAAAACAGTAAGAAGTTCAGCACGCCAGGCACCCCTGTGATGAATCAATAGGGGGCGGCGGATCGAAGACGCCTACGGCGAATCACCGCCGCCCCCTGCCTTTGTGGAAGCGCCTATGTGGCCGAACGTTGAGGCCAGACCTGCCGTGCTATCGGACCATGTGTTCCCCGAATCGGTTTGGAAAGCCTCCGGGGAACACGTGGGCATCTTGAAGGTCATCTTGGCCGCCTGGAGGCCATTTTGACTCTTTGGGGCCTTCTTGGAGGACGCCTTGGAGGGCTCTTGGGCCTTCTCGGAGGCCATCTTGAGCGTTTTGGAGGCCTCTTGAGCAGTCTTGGGGGCCTCTTGGGGCCGTCTTGGGCGCCTCTTGGGCCGTTCTGGGGCCATCTTGGAGGCCTCTTGGGCGATACTTGGGCGATCTTTGGGGGCTCTTGGGCCGCATCGGGCCGTCGGAAGGCCGAAACGAAGCGAATTTCAAAATCCTTCAAAAACTTAGGAAAATCACTGTTTTCTGCCTTTTCTGGCCTTCCTGGAGGCCCTCTTGGAGGCCTCTTGGGCCGTCTTGGGCCAGCTGCGAGCCACCTTTGGCCATCTTGGTGGGCTCCTGGCCCGTCTGACGCCGTCGGAAGCCGTTTAGGGGGCCTTTCTGGGCCGACTTGGGGCCCTCTGGGGTGCTCCAGGGCCGTCTTAGAGGCCATCTTGGGCGTCTTCGAGGCCTCTTGGGCCGTCTTGGCGCCCTCTTGGGGCCGTCTTGGGAGCCTCTCAGGCCGTCATGGGGCCATCTTGGAGGCCTTTTGGGCGATCTTGGGGCGATCTTGGGGCGACCTTGGCGGCCTCTGGGGCCGTCACGGGCCGTCAGCGGCCATCTTGGGGCTCCCTGGGGGCCCGCCGGGGGCTTCTTGGGGCATCCCGGAGGCGTCTTGGGGTGGAAGACTCGAAATGTCTGATCGGGTTCCCCCTCTGGGCCCCCTCTTGGGGCTGTCCTGGGGCCGTCTTGGGGGCGCCTTGGGCCGTCTTGGGGCCCTCTTCGGTCGTCTTGGAGCCCTCCCGGGGGCCTCTAGGCCCGTCTTGGGGCGATCTTGAAGGCATGTTGGGCCGTCTGGGACGTTGTGAACGTCCAGAAGGCGAAAGAGCTAATCATGCATGTTTTCCCCAGGGAATGGGACGACTTTTGCTTGTGGAGGCCCTCTTGGGACGCCTCTTGAGGGCTTCTTGGGGCGTCTTGGGGGCTTCTTGGGCCGTTTTGGATCGATCTTTCAGCGACTCGTGGCCCTCGTGGGCCGCCCCAAGGGCCTCTTTGGGCCCTCTTGGCCTGTTTTGGGACCCTCTGCCCCCCCTGATGCGTTCACCCAGATCCCGGGCGACACCCCCCCCTCCAAATCGACCATGCTGGGCTCCCGGGGGAGGGGTTCGGGGAGGGGGAAACATCCCACACGCCGATGAACCCCAATGTGTTGGCGTATTCCTTATCCAATGCCCTCGAGGTATTCGAAACTGGGCGACAACGCCCAGGGTGAGATGGGTGCAACGCCCAGATCTCCAGACATTCGGCATCTCGATTTTTTCGAGACGCGGGGCCCCGACCTCTCGACCACTTCCCCGGAACCGGTTTCTCATCCCAAGTTGTTTTTTGACGGTCCCGTGACCTGGTATTGGCCCGGAGCGGTCGAAAAGAGTGACAAAATGTCTCGATTTTTTTGAGACGCCGGATGTCTGAGTCTCCAGGTCGTCGGCGGCGACGACGCCGACGATGACGACGACGACGGTGCCGACGACGACGACAACGACGACGGCGGCAACGACGACGACGACATCGATGACGACGACGACGATGACAGCGACGACGACGACGACGACGACGACGACGACGACGACGGCGGCGACGACGACGACTGCGGCGACGACGAAGAAGACCTGGGTTCCATCATTATCCCTTTTTTGACGGCTTCTAGGCCCGAGAAGGGCCTCCAGAGTTTGAAAATAGCGAATAACATGCAGTCGTGTTTTTCTCATGACTCGAGGGGTCTCATTGCAACGATCGGATTTCCAGCGACGACGGCGACGACGACGACGACGGCGACGGCGACGGCGACGGCGACGACGACGGCGACGACGACGACGTCGGCGTCGGCGACACCGACGGCGACGGCGACGGCGACGAGACGACGACGACGACGACGACGACGGTGACGACGACGGCGACGGCGACGGCGACGCCGACGGCGAAAACGACGACGACAACGACGGCGACGGAGACGACGACGGCGACGACGGCGACGGCGACGACGACGGCGACGGCGACGACGACGGCGACGGCGACGGCGACGGCGACGGCGACGGCGACGGCGACGGCGAAGGCGACGACGACGACGACGACGACGGCAGCGGCGACGGCGGCGGCCTCGGCGGCGGCGGCGGCGACTACGACGGCGGCGACGACGACGA